TCCCGGCGCATTCGCCATTTTTGTAAATAAGTTTTTGAAGGGTACAAAATTATATTTAATGTAATACTGATTTAATATAATAAATCGGAAAAACGTGATAAACATTTTCGTATGATACCTATTAAAATAAATTTTACATAATGTGATAATTTAAAAAAAATATGGTTACTTTAAAAAAAGTATCAATATTGGTGGTTAAAAGTTGCTGACATTTTTTTAACCAGTAAATAAATACAATGTTCATTTAATGCATTTGGTGGTTTTGCAGTTTTTGAGCCATGTCCTTCGGTAGATATGTAGATCTGTATTATATAAAAGCTATTCAAAATGGTCTGAAAAAAATTCTTCTTCTTTGAGTTTTATTTTTTAAATTCTACTTTAAATATAAGCATACTACATAAGTTAAATTTTATTTGATCAAATACATATGTTAACTGTAACTTTTTAAATATTTAACAATGTTTTCAATAATAATCCCACTGGTTTTTAATTAAGCATCAAATCCCTGGTTATTCATAGTTAACTTTTAAACATTGATAAATTATGTTCTTCAAGTTTAGCAAATACTTTTTTGTTATAAAAGAGGTGGTTAACAAATTTGCACCATTCAATCACTTTCTAAATATGCAAATTATTTATTTAGGATATAATTAATTTATTTACACCCGTAAAAATTACATTAAGAATCTTTAAACATTCATCAACTATTAATCCCTGGGTTAACTGTTGTATATTGCAGACAACATTTGAACAAACAGTTTCCAGGGTTTTGGTTTAATTCAATTGGCCGCCAATATCTTCAGATCTTACCCAATTGGACTATTAATGATGGAGTTGGTTCACAAATGAGATATAAATCATCGACAATTGGAATGCACTAAAGGCAGAAAATATTTATGGCTATATATTTTCAAATTTATATTTATAAAAATTTTAAATTATATTTGGGTTTTTTTGTTTTTGATAAAATCTTTTTATTTTTTTACAGTCCTATTCATTTTTTTATATTTTGTTTGATATATTTTATGATTTTAATCGTATCCTTGATGACAAATACTATCAAAAAATTATAAATGTACTTAAAGTTGTAAGGGTCTGTCCATAAATCTTGTGACGCCAAAAATAGTTAAAATTGACCCCTCCCCTTGTAAAGACCCCCAAATGGTGATGTGCCGAATTATTAAACTTCCAAACCCCCTAAAAAAATCCGATTATTTTTTGTAATAATCCGACTAAAAATGGAACAAACTATCAATTTCATTCGATTTACTTTGTCACGTGACGTTTTAAAAAACCCCATCCAGCGTCACGAGATTTATGGACGGCCCCTAATGTTTTCCCGGCAAAAATAGTGAAAAACATCGTAGTCTTCGTATTATCAGATTGTGTTTATATTTAGTTCGAGGACAACGTCTACTCAAATTTTGTCCAATTTGCTCAAAATTACTGCTTGTGTGAGTTAGTTCTTTTTCTTTTTCTTCATCAAAAATCTGTCCATTTTTTAAATTTTACTTCACATAAGTATTTACAAAGTTTAATAATAATTTAATAATTTAAACCTCCGTTATCAATAAAACATGTATAGATTATTATTGTAGTGTTAAATAATCCCACAGTGGGAATCCGATTCCCACTGGTATTTCAAACAAATAACACATTTTTAAAAAATTTTAATTTATTATAATCAATAAATGTAGTAAAACATATACGCCTTTTACAAATATTAAACAAGAGGTTAACAAATTTGTACCATCCTATGAGACTTTCTAAATATGCAATTACGTATTTAGCATTTTATTAATTTATTTATAACACCCGTGAAAATATTAACATTTTAAATTAAGAACCTTTTTTACCTTTATTACCTATTAAATCCTGGATTCATCATTATAACTTGTTCTTATAATTTTTTTAGATTTGAGATATTCTCCTCTTACCTTTCAATGAATTTATTGTTAATTTTTAGACAATTCGGAAATGTTACAACCGAATAGGTTTTTAAAATAATTTACTATCTTGAATTTTATTAAACTAAAAGCTTTTACCAATGTTTAAACTTGATTTAAGAATACCACAATATCATTTGCTTCAATAAAAATTTCACACTATAATAGTTTTTTGTTTTGTTTTCAAAAATATTTAAATTACCTTGTCAAAAGCAGCAAAGCAAATCTTTATGTCATTTAGTGAAAATAATCATTTTTGTAAAATATAAAATAAAATAATTTGTGAAGGTTTATATAAATTGTCAAGATTAAAATTATTTTTGGGCACAATACCAAAACAAAGCACTTACTTAATTTAGGAAAAACCTATGTAAATATTTATTTTAAACAATCATTATTGTACAAAAAATAATGCTTTAATTTCAAAATCATTTAATACTTCCGGGGAGAAACTTATTATCATTAAAAATCCCACCATTAAATCAAAAAATCAAAACTTGGATTTTTTAAGTATTGCCCAACTTTTCTACATCACGAAATAACAATAAAAAAAATAATAACTCTAATATAGTACCTACATTTTATTGTAAAATAATATTACAACATACTTATTTTTTAGATATCACATAAAATCAAGTTGACTTTATAAAGAACAATTGAGTGAAAAAAAATTAATGTGGTCGACTTGATTAAACAATATTAATGATTAATATTAAATTTCAGTGGGTGTTAATTATGATTTTTTATAGATAAATATCGCAGATATTATGCAAATATTATTCTAGTCGTGTGCTTGTAAAATAAAATTTATAAATAACTTTTAGAATGCAAAAATGTTGTATACCTAATGTGGCCAATTTTTACGTTCACTTATAATATTTTTGTACATTTGTATCTTGTACCAAGAAAAAAATATATGTTTAATAATGTTTAATAATACTCATGAAATTTTTTCTTGTAAATAAGAGATGACATATTAATATATTAATATATTAATTAATTAATTAATTTCAACTTTATAATTTACTTATGCTCAAGATACATATGCTCACCGGCTGAAGGACATCGGTCAATGGCCATTTGTAAAAATTGAAAAAACTGTATTTACTTTTTGCAATAAAGCTCATTTTCTATTATTATTATTATTATTATTATTAATGTTTAATAGTCTTAAATTTACCTAAATTTATCAGATTAGGCCCTTTTTAACCGTCAGATTTGCTTACATGAGATTTTTAATTCTATTTTGTAAAATTTTAACATATTTTTTGTAGAAAAGAAGGGTTTGTAATTATTTTACAAAGGAAAATATATAACGAAAGTTTTGTAAACGTAATATGCAATTTCGTAAGCTTGTTGTTAATTTCAAAGGTTACAATATTTAACAAATTATTTCGTTGAAAAAGTACACGTTATTTCAGGTAGTCAATCAAAACATTTCCCACTGACAATACGAGTCAACAAGTTCAACTGACTTCAGCGTCTGCAACTTATGTTTCTGCTTACTTTATTCTAATTCGTAACGTGATCGTAACAAATGTACAGAGTGTTTATGATTTATTACCAGAAATCTGTTATTATTGTTATTCGTATTCCTTAACCTATTTAACGAGTGTGCGAAGTATCCGAAAAAAGATGCCATCACTGGTTTTTAAACTGAAATTATGTACAGTAATGTTACGAAATATATCAGTAAGTGTTGTAGTAGTACTGATAATTATATTGTACCAAATTTCTTTTTAATTTGTTGATTTCAGAATGGTGTGTTATTTAATTGTATGTATGTTATTTTTTTGTTCATTTATGTTGGTAGGTATGTGTTAATTTTTTTTGTTGAGGAAATTGATTAATTTCTTATCAAAATTCTTTTCATTTAAGATCCCAATTTTTAACAAATACTTTTGTTACTGGGTCTACAAAAAGGTTTGGAAATATAAGGTCCTTTTCGAAAATTACAAGAATTATGGTTGAATTATTGATGTAGAATTTTTTTATTAAATCTACAAAATGGTTTCTTTAATTACAAACTTCTAATTCAATTAGTTAACAGATTGCACTTGGTTGTAAACTTAACATAAAGTTATATGGACCTGAATTAACATAAACTCTGGTTAATATTTGGTTAAAAATAACAAATATTTTTTTAATGTGTACTTTCATTGATCGTTGCATAATTTACTATTTTCTTAAAAATGTATTTTTTATTTATTTTTTAAATAATACTTGTAATAATAATTATCAACTGATTTATTCATAAAGTGTATTTGCTATTCAATTGGTTAAATAATCCTTCGACATGGAATAAATTTATGACTTGTGACTTATGTAATATTGTTTGCTATGCAATAGACAGTGTATTAACACAAATATTTTTCCAATTATCAAACCTTGTATGGGTTTTATATTCAAAATTTACTTACGTATGCGTTACTTTGCTTAATTATATGGCTAGAGGTTTGGCTTTTGTTACTTAAAATCAATTTTAATTTTTATTAAACATAAAATTATGGTTTCTTCATTCGTGTGGCTATATATCATATCATAATATTGTTAGTTTTTCAAAAATATATTTTTAACATAAACCAGAGCATTAAAAAGATTAACACCAATAGTCAATTTAATAGAGAACTTGAGAGTTTAATAATCAGTATTTACTAATTTACTATAATTTAGGCGATTTTTTATAATATTTTTATTGTTTATTAATTCTTGTTTGTTTAGACTGTTTATACACTAAATGTAATTTTGTTATAGATTTTAATAATGTATTTGTGTGTTTTTTCTTCTAATATTTATTTATGTCTTGACTTGTCTAATACATATGTATTAATGTCTTTGGATTAATAAACTATCTACCTATCTAAACATTGTTTAGATTATAAAAAAATTAAAATGCGATACATTATTTTAAAGGAAATTCAATTTCTGATCAATCTAAGTTAAAAAAAAATCATAGTTGATCCACTTTTGCAAATACACACATTTTGTATTAATTTGTATGATTTTTAAAGCTATTGTGCTATTGTACAATTTTTTAGTAAAAACTTTACTTACGGCTTTCATCCGGAGACTCCATGGAATCACCGTTTAAATGCATGTTTTCCAAAGTATTATCCTCGTTTTAACTTTTTATTTTTAAACAATCACACATTGTGTCGACTATAGTGACACTGGAAAAGAAATAAATAAAAACAATTAGGCAGGTAAATATACGTTAGGAAGCTAAAAATAAGTGACACAAACGAACCTAAATAAATGAATTTAAAAAAAAAATCTGATAAGATAAGATTATATTTATTTATGTTTTTATTTGATATAATTGCGTATAAGTACAAGTTCATAAAAGGTTTTTTTGATAAGTTATTTTAGTCACGACTTTTATTTCATGTAAATGTTTTACCTCCCCATGCAAAAAATAAAGTATATATTTTTCACTTTTTAGTTCTCAAAATGAACGTTGGCGCGCTATAAACCTTGACTTGCATTGTCACCGAGTTGTGAACTAAATTTTAGTTTGATCGTTTAACCGAAAGTGATTTAAAATTTTATTACAAAATTTACCCAGTAGGTAAATAAAATCGTTTAATTTTTTTTTAAATATCTTATATTTCGCGATATGTAGGTACGTATTTAAAAGTGTTACAAATGGTGCATCCTAAGTAAAGTAATAAGTATGATAATGGGTCTGAAACAATGGCTATCGGATTAGAAATTTTGCAGCTCATATTACTTTCAAACACAACGGCTCTAGTCGTGGGAAGAGATTTTATATCGCTATAGAGCATGAGAAAGGAAAATTAAACGAATACAATTGTCAATATTGACCAAACGCTAAATAAATAGAAATTTGCATTTTTATAGATACTTGCCAATAATAGGTAATTATCTTTTTGCCGATGGGTATATATTTTTAAGGAATTTCTATGACATTTTAAGGTTTCTATAAAATATAAAATTTTTACGATCTATAATACTTTTACTAATACTTTTACTTAATTTTACTAGTTTTTTAATTATAATATTTTATATTATAATATAAACATTTCATAAAAAATAAAATCGTATATAAAGTAGGTATTAAGTTTGATAAACGGCATTTTAGTCACGAATTTAATTTAGGCACGAGCAAGCATGCGAGCGAGTGCTTAATTAAATGAGTGTCTAAAAAACTTTATAAACAAGTTGCATACCTACTATACTTTTTCTTGGACAAACCCTAATCTAAAAATTTTTAATGCTTTCAGTTAAATCTAGTTTACTGCCGGCAAAATCAAAAGGTCAGTACAAACTTGCATATACATTTTTCAAAGTGATTTTAAGAAAAACATGAAAAACCACTCATAAGATCATTTTTGAAAAAAAAATGCAATAATTGTATATATACGTCTATAGACGTGCTTTTGCATCATTTTGCATCATTTTTATTCAAAAAAGTAAAAATCCTTTAAAATTAGGTAGTTTAGTAAATAATTGAGATTTAAAAACATAGTTCTGGTTCAAAGACCAAGTTTTGTCGTCACGTAATGCATATCTAGTATACGTGATTGGTCAACAGCAAATACCGAGTTTTGCATCCGACAGGAAGAAACAAATACCCAGTTTTGCATCTCCTTTAAGTTTTTAAATGTATTTTATTGTACAAAAATTAAATTATGCATCTGGTTTACTTAGGTATGCTGTACATAAATAGGATAAAATATATATTTTTTAAAAATTTGCAAAAGCCGAGTTTTGCATCTAATGTATTTTTTGACAGTTTTTTCAAAAATCTCAACCTTTAAATTATTATAACTTTATTATTACTAACAAATCTTATTATCTATTTTAGAAGTGAGTACTTATACCCAAACTATTAGGTTTAAAGAATTTGGGAATCAATACTAAACACAAATAATAATAATATAAAATAGCCAAGCTATTCCTAAATATAAAGAAAAGTAAATTTTAAATTTAAATGAAGTTATTTACAACTTAAGCACTTTATTTGTGAAACCAGAACTTATTTTTTAATGTGTATTTTGTTTGTATAAAACGGTATTATAACCATAACTAAACATTTGACCAACTTCGACCGCAAAATTAAACGGACAGTTTTTTTAGAAAAATATGAGAACTGTTGTTGGACATAAACTCTAATATTTTTAATTAAATCATAAATATTAAACATGTAATAAAAAAAATATCGAATAGGATTTTTAATTCAGAATATTAAAAATGCCTTTGAATTAAAGGTATCGATTAATATTTTTAATTTTAACTTGGAATTATATATATATATCATTTCCTATAGTAGGTATACCTAGTATACTATTAACAAAATTTCCTTACAATTAAAAATATGGTTTAGATATTTTAATTTTAAATATCGAATGAGATTTTTAATTCGGATATAAAAATAGTTTTCAATATTTAAAAAGAAATTAAAAATATCTAAAATAATTTTTAATTCAACGCATTTTCAACATGATAGGAAATAAAAATTACAAACACTCTTTTCCCACTTGGTAATTCAGTAAATTAAAAATATCGTTTGGTATTTTTTATTTAATCTAAATATCAATTTGACACTATTAATTTAATTTATTTTTGAACTGAAACAAAAGATTTTCCTAGGTGGTTGCAAGACTGAAAATCAAATGATTTAAAAATATCAAAGCAATATTTCTTATTGAATTAAAAATCTTAAGCAATATTTTTAATTCACTCAATTTCAAGTGGGAAAGAAACATTTGCAACTTTTATATTCAATGAATTAATAATCACATTTGATATTTTTAATTCATTGTGAGCAAATATACCTATTTTAAGTTTGAGCTGAAATTTTAAAGTGATATTAATTTCCAAGTTGAAAAAGAAGAATTATAACTTTATTTCAAGTTAGATTTAAAATGATGAACTAAGAATATGACTTTATTTTCTTTCAATAATTTTAAATTTTCCTGCGATGTTTGATATTAATTACAAATATGGTAGAGACGTTTAGTTTACTGTCATACAGATTTACAATTTGTTAAATAAAAGACGCTTTGGCGTTCCATATAAATACAACATTTATTTTTTGCCAAATAAACACAGCAAATTTTTAATTTATTTTGTACATTTTCTATAGCATTTACCGCCTTCAAATAAAACGGTAATAACTCATTTCCGAAAAAGTATGAAATGAACGTTTAACTTAAGACTAAACTAAACCAAACCGTTTATAAACTTCTAAATTTAGTTCTTAAAAGGACAATTCTATATTTTAAATGTTGTGACCCAACCTTGCGCGTGTACTCGATAAATTTGATAGAAATGTCTTTCTGTTATCACATACATTTCCCGCAAACCCTTGAAAACAAGTTCGCGGCAAGCAAATAATTTATATCAATTAAGAACACGGTTCGTTTCAGACTGGCTTATGGCCAAAAATGGGCAAATGGGCGTGCGATATTGCATTGGTAAAAAAAAGAGCGGAGATTAAGATTAACTGCCATCTTGCCTTGAACTACAAAGTTCTGAAAAAAATACTAGTGAAGACAATGGACTTAATATGCGTTTGCCGAATGAGTCACCAGTTGTCAATACCTTTTATGTATGTAAAAGGACGCGATTTTTAGCCAAATGCGTTTTGTGATTGTTTATTAAATGACCTAAATATTATTTAATTTAATTTGCAAACTTACATAGATGCATAAAAAGATATCTTATAAGACTTGTAGACTCTAAATAATATAACGTAATATAAGGTTTCCACCCTGTATACAAGTATCAAGAACATTCAGTTCATTCAATTTTTTTTAAATTAAATGTACTGTACACAGAGTGTACAGTACCTACAGAGAGATTTCAATGGTTTTTTTAAGTTTTAATTTTTATTACCATTGTAACGCGAAGTTATCTAATAATTTGGCCAAATTGTTTGCCCCACTGTGCGAAACCATTTCTTTATAAAAAAATGGTTTCGCACAGTGGGGCAAACTATAGTTTAGAGGTCAAGAACTATCGATAGATAGTTTATGATAGTCGGGAATGTTACTACCGATATTAATCGAAAGTTGTCTAATAATTTTAGTTAATGAGCGTTTCGTTGTCTACGTTTTGTGGTAGAATTGTATTTACGTTTTTTAATTCTTCTTTAACATCTAAGATGTTGCAGTTATTTTTATTAAATTAATTAAAAGACAAATTTTAAGAGCAATTATTACTGTTGTGGCTGGCAAAAGGCTACTACTTGTGTTCAATAGTTTGGGGTTTCGAGTGGATTATGTTAGTCAAAGATCAGAAATTGGTTTGTTTTTAATTTTTAAGTCGAACTTGCTTTGCTGAATAGGCATTAGGTATTCTTTGGTATATTAAGATATTAGTTTATTCCCTGTTCACCTCTTTTAATGTTTTTTTATGTATTATTGTTGTTCCTACGGATTTTTATACGTGATAGGTATACCAAGCCTACCAAGCCTTTGGGTTTATATATAAACCCGAAGGCTTGGTAGGTTTGGTGAATTTCGGAATTACGCGTTTTTAGTATTGAAAATAGCGTCGTGCAAATATTATTAAAATACTTTCGAATTATTTAATAAAATTTGAAATTTGTCGATAAACTTCAGTGAATTAAATATTGTACCACTTTAATTTGAATTATCTTAATTTAGGGGGCAGGAGGCTGGGGGACACACTTAAAAACTAACTTTTTTCGCAAACTTCAATTTAAATTCTGCTTGCGCAGAACTTGTCTATATAGTGTCATTATAAACTCATATAAATTTGATGTGGGTCCCATGTCTAATAACTGAGATATAGGTGTGTCCAAAATCCACCAGCCGCCAAAGTTTTAGGTACTCTGGATTTAAAATGCACTGTTATTCTGTATCGTTTGTGGAGCGATGGAGATATACGTCTGACGGGTACAAGTGATACTGTCGTACTGCATTTTTATTTTGGGAACGTTTTTGCCACGTTTGTAATTAGATTTATTAATGTCGCGTTATTGACAATAACTCTACTGATAAAAAACTATGAGTGATTTTATAAGAGCAAAGAAAATACAGACAGTAAACAATCGTGGAAAATGGGACGTATAACGTATACAATTTTCAAAAAGGGAAAAACTTAAACGAAAGTCCTGTTGGCATATTTTGAAAAAATAAATGTTTATTTTAATATATAAACTCTCTTAAAATGAATTAGT